GTGTGTGTCTGTGTGTGTGTGTGTGTGTGTGTGTGTGTGTGTGTGTGTGTGCGTTTTTGTGACAAATGAGGACATACATTTGTATAATGACAAGGGTATGACATAGGTATTACAAGGAGAAGGTGACTTTTCAGGACATTACCCCATGTCCCCACTTTTCAAAACGCATATAAATCACACAGAATGGAGTGTATTGAAAATCTGAAATAGCACAAAGTTTCCTGTGAGGGGTAGGTTTAGGGGTAGGGTTGGTGAAGGGCAATAGAATATGCGGTCTGTACAGTAGAAAAACCATTACGCTTATGGGATGTCCCCACTTTTCACAAAAACAAACCTGAGTGTGTGTGTGAGTGTGTGTGTTTGTGTGTGTGTGTCTGTGTGTGTGTGTGTGTGTGTGTGTGTGTGTGTGTGTGTGTGCGCGCGTTTTTGTGACAAATAAGGACATAAATTTTATAATGACAAGGGTATGACATAGGTATTACAAGGAGAAGGTGACTTTTCAGGACATTACCCCATGTCCCCACTTTTCAAAACGCTTATAAATCACACAGAATGGAGTGTATTGAAAATCTGAAATAGCACAAAGTTTCCTGTGAGGGGTAGGTTTAGGGGTAGGGTTGGTGTAGGGCAATAGAATATACGGTTTGTACAGTAGAAAAACAATTACGCCTATGGGATGTCCCCACTTTTCACAAAAACAAACCTGTGTGTGTGTGTGTGTGAGAGAGAAATTTTACTGTTTTGAATTGAAAAAAATAGCTTATTTTCATGATTCATGTAGTGTAGTTCTTAACTGAATTTAGAAACATTAACATACAGTGGTGTGAAAAAGTGTTGGCCCCCTTCCTGATTTCTTAATTTTTTGCATGTTTGTCACACTTTAAAGGGGTCATATGATGCTGCTAAAAAGAATATTATTTTGTGTATTTGGTGTAATGAAATGTGTTTCTGAAACATTAAAGTGTGACAAACATGCAAAAAAATAAGAAATCAGGAAGGGGGCCAACTTTTTCACACCACTGTAGCTGTTTTCAGAATAGTAGGCACAAAATTAAGAATGAATGTGTGCATATTGTGAATCAATGTAATGAACATGGTTACCTGACTTTCATTGTTAATTGAAGCCTTTCAGAAAAATAAAAATATTATTTAAAAATAGTTTAAATGCATTATTTTACAATAACTGTAGCTGTTTTACTGTTTTTATTCTCTTTTTATTCCCTTAAACCCTTTTTAAGAAAAAATATAAAAATTATAAAAAAATTAAAAGGAGGCTTTTATTAAGCAAATCAAGGAGTGAATTGCTGCTCATCCACTGTTTAAAAAAAAAATACTTTAGCTGGGTTTCCACAGGCAGGGTCACAATTATCTACAGTGTATGAAGCTAAAGGTTTTTGGGTTAAGGTTCATAATGTAGAAAATGTTTAACGTTGTATGCTGTATGTGCATAGGTAGCTAGCAAACAAGCAATACAGCTGTTAAGCTAGTCACATTTAGCTGAGTAAGATCATGATTGAGAAATGTTGGATATTGCTGGAAATGCTGCTATGCAGCTATGGGGTATCCTATTTATTATTTTAGGATTTTTTTGTTTGCCCCAGTGAAGTATTTCTATTAATATAACTGATTAAGTAGTCAAACTCATTCTATATCAGCAGAATAGTGTGGTACAGAAAGTCTATGTCCATAAAACAGGTTCTGAATGAGTTACTGATACCTAATGGTCAAAAGCAATAGCAAAAGTAATAGTTCAATATTATTAAATTGCAGACAAAGATTTTGAATAGCTAGGCTGGCTTGTCCCCCACATATTCTTCGCCTATGCATATAATACTAATATGCACTAATACTAATATAAAAAAAAAAAAAGTGTTTATAAAGTGCTGCGCTGCTTTGTTAACACCGGTAACCAAGGAAACGCTATATTGCAGCTGTTCCATAAGCGCTACCTGCTGTCAAAGAGTGAATTTGCATTTATAGCATAATTTCACAAAGCTAAAGTCAGACCTTTAAATCTTGTAATTCTACAATAACAATTTAAATGAAATAGAACTGCTCATGCTACATGTATGTAGCATCTTTGTTTGGACTGTGATTAAAATGCAGTAGTTGCCTCTAATTTCATGGCTACAGAATTGTTTTAAGGCCAGTTGAGCCTGTAATAGAGCAAATAAACAGATTGTTCATATATTCTTTCATTCTTTCTTGTCTCTTGCTTAAAGAAAAAAATATCAGCAATCGGTATCAGAATCAGCCCATTTACTGACAATCAGAATCGTCCATGAAAAATCATGATTGGTGCATCTCTAGTTTTTGTAGATGGCCTGGTTTCCTCAAACAGTCATAACTTTGACTGACTACAAACAGCAAGTCAAGAGCGAGTGAGTACACTGGTCCACTTCAACTGGTATACACAGTAGGTATACACACATAAACACACATTAGTGTGTACCTGGTATTCCCTATGGGGTCCAAATGCGTTTGTGTGTGCGCGCGCTTGTGTGTATTTTGAATGACAGTTCGAATGTAGTGGTGGGCCGTTTCTTTTTCTTTTTCTTTTTTTTCCCAGTCCAGCCCTGCTTTAGGTTTGACAAGCTCAAGGTTACAAAGTGCAAGTATTTCAGTTTTAGTTTCATTTTTAACCCATTAATAGTTTAATGATATTCAGTTTACGGTTTACTTTACCACAATGTATCAGACAGTAGCAATTCAAAAATTGTTTTGAATTACCTGCAGGCAAAAGTGAGGACATTCCCAGTTATTAGTGCAAGGAAAATTCTCTGTGCTGAAGATAAATTAAAGGAGACCTATGAAAAATTTAAAGTTTATTTTATAGTAATGTTTATCAGTTCTGCACACTACATTAATGATCTGTCATTAATAGCTCTAAAGCATGATCTCTTCATCTGTGAGACGTGCATCTGTTGAGATCTTCCTTTGGTTTGGAAGGGATTATTAATTATTTATTAAGGGATTTTTAATTATTATTAATTATTAAATTAATTATTATTGTTTGAAAGGGGAAGAAACACAGCAAGAAACTCCAGTTAAACGGCAGTTAAACTTGAAAATCATCTTAGAGCACAAACCAACTGACCTATCATTGCATTAGCAACTTTTAGCAGTTATGGGATTATGTAATATGGTGGGTTATGGTATTTGTTTACACTGTGAATATTACATGTTCTGTCTTAAATGTAAACAAAAGAGTGACTTCCAACCACATCAATACACTACACTTTTCTGACATGTGAAATATTTTGGTCACAGTACAATAGATTGTGTATTTTAGTATTGATTTGTGTGACATGTGGCTCCTGTTTTGTAAAGAATAAAAGTAAATGATATGAACTGAATGTCTTTATACATTTTTTGTTGAGTTCTGTTAACTTGAAATGGAATTTATACCTTTAATGTCTGTACAATCCTATAATTATGAATCATGGCCTGTGTAATGAAATATTCATTACAGTATTGTGACCATTTTCAGCATAGTAGGCACAAAATTAAGAATGAATGTGTGCATGTTGTGATTTAATTTAATGAACATGGTTACCTGGCTTTCCTTGCAGTCTTTGAGAAAAATAAAAAATATTATTTGCGAATAGTTCAAATGCATTACCTTACAATAACTGTAGTTTTCTTTTTACTCAAATCCCTTTAAATCCTATTTAAATGTTTTTATATAATATAATCCTTTTTTATATAATAATATATTTTTAAATAGGATATGATAATAAATGAAGAGAGGGTATTAGCCTATTTTTTATTTATTTATTTTGATAAAGTCCCTTTATACCTCCATAGAGAAAATGCCTGCAGACCTAAATAGTAAGGCATAATTATAATAAATAATATAATTATTATTTTAATAGTTAATGTATTATTATAAATAATAATATAATATAATATAATATAATATATAATAATAGTGAATGAAGATTGTTGTGAATGTCCGCGTGTCATGTTGTGCTGAAATGTTTGTGTTGCAAAGAAAGAAGGAAGGAAAGAAAGAAAGAATTTAACGCGGAAGTTGTAACCAACTTCACCGAGTCCGACCAGTCCGACCAAAGGTTCGATCGCGACAGACCGCCTGTGATTGGTTGATATTTTACCGGACCATTTTCAGCATAGTAGGCACAAAATTAAGAATGAATGTGTGCATGTTGTGATTTAATTTAATGAACATGGTTACCTGGCTTTCCTTGCAGTCTTTGAGAAAAATAAAAAATATTATTTGCGAATAGTTCAAATGCATTACCTTACAATAACTGTAGTTTTCTTTTTACTCAAATCCCTTTAAATCCTATTTAAATGTTTTTATATAATATAATCCTTTTTTATATAATAATATATTTTTAAATAGGATATGATAATAAATGAAGAGAGGGTATTAGCCTATTTTTTATTTATTTATTTTGATAAAGTCCCTTTATACCTCCATAGAGAAAATGCCTGCAGACCTAAATAGTAAGGCATAATTATAATAAATAATATAATTATTATTTTAATAGTTAATGTATTATTATAAATAATAATATAATATAATATAATATAATATATAATAATAGTGAATGAAGATTGTTGTGAATGTCCGCGTGTCATGTTGTGCTGAAATGTTTGTGTTGCAAAGAAAGAAGGAAGGAAAGAAAGAAAGAATTTAACGCGGAAGTTGTAACCAACTTCACCGAGTCCGACCAGTCCGACCAAAGGTTCGATCGCGACAGACCGCCTGTGATTGGTTGACATTTTACCGACCTGTGATTGGTTAAGGTTGTACTGGCCTGTGATTGGTTAACGTTTGAGTGCCATTTCTTAGGTTAAACTGTCGCGTTTGGTGACTAGTCAATTCTGTGTTCGCTGTGGTTAGTTTGTTGTTAAAGCCTTCCACCGGTTCGCACAGATTCTCTCCGCTGCAACAGCGATGGCAAGTCACGTAAAGAGCGATGAATCTGGTAAGGTGTTTATCTAGTTATTCTGTAAGAAAAGTAGCTAAATAGTTATACACAGTTAATGTTGTTCGTGAGACACTGTTGGTTTCATTTCCTTATTCTTGCACCTGAAGTAGGTGGTATTTGTCGAAACATGAATCACAAGTATTCATGATCATACACACCAAATATGATTTACAACCGGACTCCTCTAATTCAATATCTCAATCCATATGCTATTAAAGTCCCTAATATGTTTCTTTGTTCTCCTTAGGAACTGTGGAGAAGGACAGCGCTTTAGCGGGACAGACAGGTAGAAACGAATCTAGTTTATAACTCGTGTATGATCCGAGAGAGAAGGATCTGTACAGTGTAAATATAGAATCTGCCTATGTTGACTCTGCAATGCTTGACAAACTGGTTGTAAAGCCATTGAAATCCAGCATGACCAGGTGCTCAACAAACAATACAAGCTTGACCTCAGTGTGTTCATTGAACTTTAGGTCTTCTTTCTAATAGGTAGGCCTACACCCCTTAGACCACAGTTAGTCCAATGTCTTTCACTGTGGTTTCAATCTTTGTGGCTTGAATACATCCTCTGAACATTTGCATATTTCATATTCTTGCTTTGCAAATCAAATTTTAGTGGTGTGTGTTGATTTTGTCTTTTCTTTCAGTCCGAGAGAACATAACAGAAACTGATAGCTTTAATCAAAGGTAAAACCTTATGATACATTGCAACATGTAGAAATTTTACAGTTTTGCGTTTAAGTAACTCTCATTCATACATTTATATTTCTAATTTTTATATTTATATGATTTTATATCTCATTTGTCAGTGTATTCGGTCTGGATCCTAATGAGGAGTATAAGATGGACCACAAGAAGCGAGGAATGGCTCTGATCTTTAACCATGAACGTTTTTACTGGCAGCTCATGTTGAGCAACCGCTCTGGCACAAATGCAGACAGGCAGAACCTTGTTAGAAGGTATTTGGCCAAGTAATCAAAAAGACATAATTATAGTGCTCAAAAGATTTTATGTATATACACACACCAGAGAGTAACAGTATCACATGACCACTGTCATTGACATCTGTGTTTGCTACACAAACATGACTGAGTCACAGTGTGTTGGTTGATGAAGAAACGGTTTTCTTGTCTTTTATTAAAGTAACAGAACAATAACTAATTTGTAAATTTTCTTTTATATCTGTTGTCAGATTTCAAGAGCTGGGTTTTGAAGTGAAGGCTTATGATGATTACAAACGGGAAGAAGTGTTATCCAAAATCAGAGAAGGTGCCTCAATATTTTCTCTTTAATGCATGTTTTGAGAAATGGGAGCCAAACTTAAATATCCCAAGTTAAACACAGCAGCTAATCAACAGCATCTTTGGCACTATTTAAATTTTTTTATTATTTCACACATATGCATCTATTTGTATGTGTGTGATATAATTATTTTACAATATTCACAGATATTGTTTTTGTTATAATTTTGTTGTTATATATAGTTTAAAAGTTACAATTCTGGGAGAACAAAATTAATTCTCCAGGCTCTACTCTTGATTATCACAAACAAATTGCACTTTTCTCTCAATTTGAAAAACATATCTACATTATATACTTACAACTGAAGTCAGCACTAGAATAAATATGAAAAAAAAATGCAGTTGTAATACTGTTTCAAAATTATAGCTATAGCGCTGACTGGTGTGCTAGAATCAACCTCATCATTAATGTAAATGCATCTAAGTGTTTTTATAACTTGAGGGAAAAGTTAAAAAAAAAGTTCTGTGGTAATCGACAGCATGCCACATCGTGCTCCAAATAAAGTTGTAGGTTCTGTTTAATCCAGAATATTCCTTTGATTTCAGCTGCTGCTGCTAACCATGTAGATGCAGACTGTTTTGTCTGTGCCTTTTTAAGTCATGGGGAAAATGGTCACGTCTATGCCTACGATGGGCAGATTGAAATTCAAGAAATCACTGATTTGTTCAAGGGGGATAAATGCCGTAGCCTTGTAGGGAAACCCAAGATCTTCATCTTGCAGGTAATTTGTCCTTCCACAAAATGTCCTTAATATATAGTATGGATACAGATTTCATGCTGCTTGTAAATGCTTGAATTTCTTTGAACACAAGGCTTGTCGTGGTGACAAACATGATGAAGCTGTGACACCAATGGATGTGGTGGACAGTCAGACAGCCAATGATGTGGTTGTAGATGCGGGGGTGCTCTGCACCCTTCCAGCAGGAGCAGATTTCCTTATGTGCTACTCAGTAGCTGAAGGTCAGTGCTTTGTTTTTGTTTGCTTGCTTTCTTTAACCAAGATTTTCTAACGTTATACTTTTACGTACTGGATTAAATTACATCCTTGATTTTACAGTAATGTCTTAAAGCAGTCACTGACATTGTTTTCTTATTTTTAAGGATATTACTCTCATCGTGAGACGGTGAATGGCTCGTGGTACATCCAGGATCTGTGTGAAATCCTCAAGCATTATGGGTCCACACTGGAGTTCACTGATATCCTGACGCTTGTTAACAGGAAGGTTTCCTTCCGCAGCGTTGGAAACTCCAAGGATCGCTCTGCTTTAGGCAAAAAACAAGTGCCTTGCTTTGCGTCCATGCTTACTAAGAAGCTGTTTTTCAGGCTTAAGAAGGAACATTAGTATTGGGGCCCTATTGCAGGTAAAAATTCAGGGATTAGATTATTTTATTTGACTTTTTATTTTGAGCTCCTATATATACACATTTTCAAAATGGAAATCATGCAGGTTTGCATGTTTTAGCCTGGAGGTTTGATAAGCTCAGGATTACAAAGTGCAAATAGTATTTTAGTTAGTTTCATTTTCCCATTAATGATGAAAGATAACAGGTTTCACCATTTACAGTAGCAATGCAAAAAATGCTTTGAATTGCCTGCAGGCCAAGGTGAAGACATTCCAAGTTATTAGTGCAATGAAAACTACTTGTGAAAATGGACCAATGAAAACTTGAAATTTATAGAATTTTTTTTTTTTTTAAGTAATGTATATCAATTCTGCACACTACATTCATGATCTGTTATTAATGGCTCTAAAGCATGATCTCTTCATTTGGGAGACATGCAGTAGTACCTCCAGAACTGTTGGGGACTTAGTTTAAGTGTAGGGGAAGAAACAGCAAGAAAATCCAGTTAAACAGCTAAAAAAAAAACTTGAAAATCATCATAGAGCACAAACCTACTTGTCTATACCAGCTTTGCATACACAACTAATTTTTTTCAGAGTATGGAATTATATGGGGGATTATGGTTTTTGTTTAAATTGTGTATCTTACATGTCTTAAATGTTGAAAAGACTGACTTTTGGAGATCTGTCCACATCAATACACTACATGTTTCTGACACATCAAATATTTTGGTCACAGAGACTTTTAGTGTTTTGTTCAAACTAAAAGTAATTATATATGATATGAACTGAATGTCTTCATACATTCTTTACTCAGCTCTGTTAACTTGGAGTGGAATCTATGGCCCTTTTAATGTTGGTGCAAGCCTTATATGTAATGTGACTGCTTTCTGTCTGGTTGGAACATGGATTATTGGAAATTTGGGTTTTCTGCAACATATTGTATAATTATCTTAATATGAAACGTGCAGTTGTCAGCATTGAATAGGCTTGCCTCTATATTCAAATAACATTCCTCTGCATTCAAGATTTAAACTGGTTTTAGCAGGTTTAAACTGTTAAACTGAGGTGATTTTTTTTTTTTTACAGCAATTACATAAAATCTTGAATAATAAATCAACATTTATAATGTGATTGTGGTTAATACACTGAAATTTAGATTTTTTATTTTTTTGTATTGCAAGCATGCACGTCTATTAAAATAAAGAGATACATTGATGAATACACTAAATCACGGTTTAGTCTCACTGAAACTTTCTTGTCTGTTTTTCAACAAATATGTGTAAAGTTATCAATGGAGAGAAAAAGATTGCACTTTTTGAAAACTAGTGGTTTGCTAGAAAAACAAAAAAATGCAGACGCTTTTAGTGTGCAGCGTGCATAACTTCCTACACACAATCCACAATAAAGGTGACACGTCACTTTTTTTAGCCACGTGAACTATATTATAAAACAAGTCTCTCCAAACGTGCCAGTGGCTATATTTCTAGCATGTGGGTTAAGTGTAATGTGAAAGGTTAATACTCTTTAAAGAACCCTATACTTTGGATTTTGTGGTGCATTGTTATCAAAGACTGAAAGCAGAAGTAAGACTTATTAGGATATTTATTACAGACAGATGTGTACATTAGATGCAGAGACACTGAATACTCCATTCAGGCATCAAACACAGAGGCGCATCTGCCTTCAATAATTATGCTTTACAATCACTTGATCCAGACAGTTCCACCCAGAACCTCTACTGATTGCTGCAAGCACCAAGACCATCTTACGGCTTACCTAAGGAATGTGCTAAAACATGTTTAAACCCTAGCTCTGGAAAAACAAGTGGGTGATGATCGGTCAGTTAAATGATGGATGCACCACTTGTGAGAGCTTCATGGATTAAAGCAAATCAGGAGACAGTAAATGATGTATAGGGAATGCTTTCCACACTCTAGACAGTAGGTAGTTTCAAAATCTCCCGTTGAAGAAAAGTGCTGAGTATTTAGTGTGTGTAAAGTGTATTTAGTGTGATTCTTCATCACACTAAATACAATAGCTATTTAATTATCAAAATATATATAATTTGCATGATTTGATTGATTGATTTTTTTTGAATGAACAGTTGGCTGTTTTTTGTCTCTCACTTTGATGCATCTTACCAAGAAAAAATTGGAGTCAAATATGTCATGATTGCATTTGCCTCTTTGACAATTTAAAGCATGAATTAATATACTCTACACTGTTAATTTCAGTCCATTTAAGTCTTCAAATGCATTGTTGCATCAAGCCATGACATTTTTCAGATATTTAAATGGCAACGCATTAACAAAGTGCAGTATGTGCCCTATTTAGTGGACTTTTTAGAAACAAATAAATGGTCTTCAATATAATAATAATAATTCCCACATGTATTATAAGCAACAGCAGTTCAAAATTACTGGGAAAAACCACACATTCACACACTAAACTTAATATTGACATCTCCAGTAAGGAATAATTACATTTTTCATATTGTGTCCATGTAAAGATGACATAAGTAATTAATCTATTTGGTCTTGGCTGATGATTAAGAGTCCACACAAAGCCAGATCGATTGCACTTTTCCAAAACATGTTCTTAACCTGGTAACACAAATCACTATAAATATTAAAAATATCACATTGCAGAGCTTTTCATATTTAACTATTAGAATGATTTGTTGTTAATTACACTATCTTTTAAATCATTTTTTTATTAAAAGCATGGCATATTTCTTGAATAGTTTTGGATTATTAAATACCTATTAGTGTTCATTAGCTACCCATGATCATCTTTGTGAAAACACTAATGCCCACTAACAACAAACTTTGACAAGCACAGTTATAATGGTGATGAACTGCTTCTCTAATGATTATCTGTTACACATTGGAGCAGACATTCTCACACACTATCTTTACAACCCAAATGGAACGAAAGATTCTGTATCATGGAATGGGCTGCTGATTGCACAGAGAAAGAAAGAAAATGAAAACACAGAGATATAAGAGAAACAGCATAATTGACCAGCATCTCAGTAGCGTGTTGTGTACCAGTCGTTGTCAGTCATCTGCACCAGTTCGTTTACCACATCCAGCAGGTTGCGGTTGTGTTTCTGTAGCAGACGCTGATTTAGTGCTCGGTCACCAAAGCCCATCTCTACCAGCACGGCCATCATAGCGTCATGAGAAGCTGCATCTTCTGGGAGCTACACAACCAAAAAAAAACGTTTTTTTACTAGTGATATATGTCCCAAATATTGCACTGTACACTAGGCACTTATACAGTACTATGTACATGTACTTTACTGTCTAATGTTATTATTTTTACACAGTGGCAAAATACATTTTGATCATAGTTTGATCAAAATCCATGTAAAGCACAATTTTTTTTATAAACTTTATTGTATAAATTTACTTAAAGATAAACTGAAACAATTTATTCTTTCCATTTATACAATTTATAATAACAAGTAATGAACTATACAATAGTATTATTTTTATTCCTTTTTAATATAGGACAGAAGAGGAGATTGTTCAGCATCTCACACCACTGCCACATTCATAAGTAGGCCTGTCACGATAACTTTTTGTTATGCGATATATTGCCCCAGAAATAATTGCGATAAGCGATATTATTGTCATTTTAAACACCATTTTAAGCCACTAAATATATAATCATAATAATGCAAGAAGGCCTACACACTTCCAAATGACAACAAATTTAAGAATATTTAGATCATGGAAATTAAGTATCAAAACATTAGATACCTTAAAAAACCTGAATAAATAGTAAATAAACATTTTCTAACAAAAAGTGCAAAGTAACAAGTAGAAAAAAAGAAAAATGCACAAAGAACTTGTATGGAGATTTTTCCATCTACAGATTTTTCCCTGACCTTCTTTTCTCTGTAAATTAAGGGTGCACACTATTGCTGAAAAACACAATCACTACTTAGCAGTCAGATGTCCGTATGCACAAAGGCACAGATCCCTAAACAAGACCATATCTGCAGATGAAACTTTTTTTGTAGAAGCATTTTTTATTTCATTTGAACTAGCACCTCATGACTACACCACGTTATGTATGAGAAGCTGCAAAAGACACAGGCGCAAGTGGAATGTACAAAACATAGTAACATTAATTTTGTTAAAATTAATTACATTTTTGTTAAAAAGTAAATATAATGGGCGATATATTGCGTCACAAAAAATTATTGAGGTCATGTACTGTACATATATTGCGCGATAAGTCGATATATTGATTATTGCGACAGGCCTATTCATAAGATGCTATGTCAAGTTAAAGGAAGCTCAGATTATTTCAAAATGTTTTTTCCATTCTGCATCCTGTATGAACGGCTCCCAAACTCACCTTCTCAGACCCAGTCTGTCCAGTGAAAAGAGCTTTATAGGCAGATGCTGCCACGGACAGGGCACCCTTCACCAATCCACCTGTGATGCTATTAGCCCTGAGGAAAGACAATATTGAGAGAGAGAAAGAATGCGAATGATAGAAAGAAAAGCACACAATGCAATAATTTCCATGAGGACGAAACGAGTGGTTGTGTGCTGTGTAACTCACCTGAGCTCTTCTGTTTCAGACTTAGCAGATGCTACTGAGTTCTCAGGGTCAGGTTGATTAGGCTCAGAGTCTACATATATATAAAAAAAAAACAGATCAACTTTCAAATGTAGTTTTGTATATCTTTTATCATATTGTCTACTTTGTATCACATCTAACACCCCATAATCATATAAAAAGGCACTAATTCACAACCTGTGATGGCTTAATACTTTAATATCCCATTGTGTTTCCACTCACCTTTCTCCTTTTCTCCTGGCTCTGTAGGATTACTCCTCTCCTGCTCCTCTGCTCCATGTTCTGTCTGCTCTTGTGTCTCTGTGCTGGATAAAGAGATTTTAGATATATTAAGCTAAATTTAACATATCAGTTTCAGTTACATTAAGTTATGAGGATGTGGTGAAGGAAATCTAGGCTGTGATATGGAATAGGAATGTGTGCATACAGAGTTTTAGGGCAGGATATTGTGAGTGGTCAATGTACATCTGCCTGCTTAAAATGGAAACAATAACATTCTCACATGACCAGTGTCACAAACTTGATTAGTGGCCAAGAAATAGTGCAGAATCTTAATCTTATTAATTTCAATCTAACCCCCCACCCCCCCAAATAAAAGATCTTCTGAGATACGGACAATACAAACACAATGTATTAACATACAGACATTTGTTTCCACATCTCACTGAGAAAAGATGCATGGAAAACTCCTTTCTCATCCTCATCCACTTCCTTCCCTTCACTCAGCTCACTCAGAATGGTCAATATCATAATATAATGTGTCACATGAATGCAAGTGACATTCACAGTCATGTTTGGTATCATTTGAAATGTCTCATTGCAACTGGTACAATGGTCTCAAACTTACAAGGAGTAAACTAAAAGGTAATACAGATCCTAAGAGTTTAGAGATATGTTGCTTAATGTGGAGGGTGTGCTCTTTCCCAGTGTCTTTCATGCAAATTACCATCTGTCCCCAAAAGGTGTAAACTCTCCACGTCTAGGCCTAGTGAATGTTTGTCGTGGTCTGGGTATTTAAGGAAATGTTGCAAGAAGATCAGCGAGCTTCTGTAGCCAGATGAGCCCGTAGTGTATACACTCCATACTATGTATCTTTCTTAAGTAAGGTATGCATCTTTTACTCTTAGATTTTCCTGAGTAAGATTTACCTGAATGATAATAAATTGTTATATTTGAATTGATTCGGTTTACTCTGAAATTATTGACTCTAGTAGATCATGTTGTCCCCTTGTTACCCCATAACCTTCAGCCACCACTGGATACCCTGGTTCGGCCAACTGGGTGGACCTTATACTACTTTAGCACCCTTTTTAACACTGTCAAAATACATCACCGGAAAAGTCCTAATTATTCATCCCTGTTTCAGTCAATGATTTCGGCCCTGCAAAACTATGTTTTGCTGTTTCTGCTGGCAAAATGTCCGATTGGCAAAATTTGAATGCATCACTAGTTTAACTGACCTCTGAGCCCAGTCTATTACTGCTGACTTGTGCTCTATATAAACTTACCAGGTTTTGACCGAGGATCGTGGTGCCACTACAATTACAGGGGTGAGTGGCACAGCATCCAGAGTCTGGGAGGCACAGAGCATGTCATTAGCATCCACACTAACAGCAGCAACAGGGTTCTGGAGCTCTTCGGTCTCCACTGATTCTAGTTTTTCCCCCTCTGCAGGCTCTTCTCCAGGCTGCGACAGGGCTGAGCTGTACATGGACTCTCCTAATGGACGGCTGGTGTCAAAGCAATCAGGGAGGATGATGATGTAGTCTTCTGAAGAAGCAGATGAAGTTCTGCTGCGTGTTTCCTTAGCTGCTTCTGTGTCCTTCACTTGCTCTTTCTTATCCACTTCCTCCTCTCCCTCTTCTACCGGATCTCCACCTGCAGGTTCCACCAGGATCTGCTCGATGTCAGACTCGTGACCCTCATCTAAACATACGAACAATCACTTTAATGGCTAAAAAAATGTACTGTCTTTGGTAAGAAGTTATTTCAATCACCTTTTGCAAAATTTGCAATGTACAAAATGACAATGGTCAGAAATAAATATTCTCAATGCCCTGTTACCTGTGCTAATGAGCTCTGCCGGAAGCGTCAGCAGGGGAGCAGCTATATCAGTGGTCTCTGTCTGTGGTGAAGCTGGGCTGGAGATTCGTGCCATCTCTACTTTCAGTGGGGCTGGAGCAGATATTAGCCCGGTTTCTGAAACCTTTTCTGATTTCCTCTCACAAAGTGACATTGAACCTTGGGGGGCTGGACGCACCACTTAACATGGGAAAAATTGATACAAATAATTTTAGAAACTCTTTACCTACCTTCTACACAAAAACTGCTAACAATGTACATTACTGCACTGCCGTGATGTTATTTTTTTTATTCATAAGAACAATATTTTCATAGAAAGTAATAAAGTTCATAAGAACAGAATTTATTTGTAAGAAAAATTGCTCCAATCACTAACGTAACCTCGGTTCCCTGAGATAAGGGAACGAGCGTTGCGTTTAACACGCTTATGGGGAAACTCCTCTTCACTCTGATACTGAAGCCTGATTTGTTCACGTTCGTGTAGCTGCATGAACAAATGTCGCTTCAACCCGCCAAAAGGGCACCATTTACCATGTGTAAAACACGCTGGTGGATTAAAGTGCTGTTGGGAGAGTGAAGCACGCGGGACCTGTGCCGGCATGAGATCACTCAAGCCCAGTTGCTCAGCCCCGTGACTCCACTGTTTCTTCCTCTGAGGCAGCTGGGAGGGGAGAAACGGCAGAGCGGGAGGAGCGGGCCACCTTCATTGAAGAAGGTGATCAGCGAGCGAAGTAGGGTGAGACTCAGGGTGTGTTCACACTTGTCATGTTTGGTTCGACTAAAATGAACACAGGTGCGATTGCTTTTAGTGCGGTTCGTTTGAGTAAGTGTGAATGCTGCCATCCGAACCTTGGTGCGCACCTATGGAGTCAAAATAATGCCACATATATATGCAAAATAATAAAGTTTTGCAATGAATAAAATATAAACGCAACACGGACCAAATACTTCTAAACGAACCAAAAACAAGATGTAATGCCAAGATGCGACGCTATGTGACATGGATTGACGACACGGAACGAGCGGTGTATCCAAATCAAAATGAGCAGAGGGCAAACGTGTTGTGGCGAGGAGGTAAAGTGTCTTTTATGAGCTCTTCGTGAGTTTGCAGGTGGTAAAAATATAATGATATGTACATGCAACAATGAGCGTGCTTAGTCCGGCAGATGGCATTAGGTGTATTTAACTTAAAGCGGTGCTGAGCAGACCGATCGGTGAATGGGTACTTTGATGTCATACACCGATCAGTCTGCGCAGCGCCGCTTTAAGTCGAACGCACCTTTTGCTTGGCGTGTTTGGTGAGTTCAGTCACAAAATATACATCATTCAACCCGACCAATCAGGTTGTGAACATATCACTATGCCTTTAGATGCGGTATCTTTAGGTTCACTGTAAAAAATGCTAGTGTGAACGCTAAGTGGACCAGGACCAGGACCAGGACCAAATGTATTGTTTTCTTATTTTGGTCCGAACCAAACGAACCAAGAAAACCGAACTACAAGTGTGAATGCACCCTCAGACTGCTCTCACTACGAGAGCATGTCTCAGTGAGCACAGCCTCAGAATGGGCACGGCCTAGGCAAGCGGCGTGCTCACTGTGCCCGCGTGAAGCATGCAGGGCACACTCATGCTGCAAAATTAGCAACAATGTTGCAGGAAATTTGCTCAGAAATTTGCTCTTACAGTAGGGAAAATTTTATTTGATCCCCTGCTGATTTTGTAAGTTTGCCTACTTACAAAAAAATGAAGGGTCTGTAGTTTTTATGGTAGGTTTATTTTAACGGATAGAGACAGAATACAAACCAAAAAATCCAGAAAAAACAATATATAAACGTTAGAAATTGATTTGCATTTCAGTGAGTGAAATAAGTATTTGATACCCAAGCAAAACATGACTTAGTACTTGGTGCAGAAACCCTTGTTGGCAAGCACAGAGGTAAGACGTTTTTTGTAGTTGGTCACCAGGTTTGCACACATCTCAGGAGGGATTTTGA